GAGACAAATATCATTGCCAAATGACATGGCAAACACAGGAAAAAAGTGAAAATGAAGAAGCAGAATCGTTGGAAAATGCACATAGATGAACAGTGGAAAAGATAGATGGATAAATAAACGACAGCGAAATCTAGCAATTAAAAAAAACCCAGAAAAACTACAAGAAAAAGTTGCTTTGTTATTAATACTGGTATATTTTAGGCATTCCTTTAACTAATTTCTTTCTTAACTAAAAAAACCAAATTTTCTTTTTTTTTTTGGCTAAAAAAAGGCAGAAGAAAATGCAGAAAAGCAGATAGGAGCACAGAAACTGCGCTTTAAACTAGGAAATATTTGTAGAAAAGCGGGGGTAAAAATGAGCAAGATAAAAAAAGAAAGCGGAAGAAGTAACAGCTAAGAAGTTTGCACTAATTCCTATCTTTAACAATAGGCTAAAATTCATTTAATAACAATATTCAACAAACAGAAAAAAAATTCAATCATTAGTTGTCAACTGACAGTTATTTTTGTCAGTTCTCACCGATTTTTTCTCCTTTTCTCAAACTTTTGAAAGAAAAAAAAAATAGAGCATAAAGCCAGCAGTAGTTTTTAATGATGAAAAATTGTAATCACCAGAAAAAACTATTCCATTTCCGGTATTTTAGTGCTCCAACTTTTTTTCATTTTTTTTTTTTTTTTGTTTTTTCAGAAGCAATAACTTTCTTTCTGGTCGTTAGTCCTTATAAATTTGATTATTACGCATTTTTCGTTCCTTTTTTCCTCATTTCAATGTCATCAAAATACTTTCACCTCTTCCCCTTCTCTCATTCCATCTTCATACTTCTTTCCTTTTTCCCCATCTCCCTCAGTCCAATAAAAAAGCAGAATTCTTTTGAATCATACAAAATTACAGCAATGATTGTTAAAGGTGAATAAAACTGAAAAATTATTTTTTTTTGCAAATTTCAACAAAAAAAAGTAATAAACTTACGCATAAATGTTCAACAAATTTTTGTTAATCATTTACTGTTCAAAGGAAAAAAAAAAAACTATAATAAACAACAAAGATTATTATCTCATTTTCTTTCTCTTCTCCGCCCTCTCCCCTCCTTTTCCACATTTCTCCCCTAAGAAACAAGCTGACGTTTAACAGCCAAAAATCGCTCTCAAACTTTAGTTCCAAAGTATAGTTTTTTTTTTCCGCAAATCATCAGAAATTGTAAGTAATAGCACAAAAACAACTTTGAAATTAATGTTGTTGTCATTTTTTGCTAAATTGATAAACCATAATAAGCGACAAAAAAAAAAGCGACCTCAACAACTCGTTGTTAAAGTAGTCGAAGGAAAAAAAGTATTCTCTAAGCATATGCAGTTTCACATGCAGTTTTCGTTTTCCAACCGATATTTTTCCCAAAATAGTCCATTTTTTCTCCAGTTTGCTATTATTATCGTTTGGTTATGTTTTTTGTTGGTTCAGTTAACGGAATTTTTATTTACCAAGAAAAAAAAAAAGCAATTTTTTTTTTTTGTTTCTTCTAAACCCCACTAATTAATCCCTTTCCATCCGTCAAGCCTTTTTTTTTTTTACTTTGGCAGCATAAACAGTTGACGAAAGGAAAACACACATAAACACACACACACAGAAACACGCGTAAAAAGCAAAAAAAAAAACCTGAATGGTAATTTCAGATTTATTTTTTTTACCCCCCTCAAAAATCTTTAAAACACATCAAAAAAGAAAAATACCAAATTACCCTTAAAACAAATAACTCATTCATTAAAAAAAAAAAAAACAAACTCGTTGATTTTGCAATTGTTAAAATTTTTTTTGTTATGAGTTTCCTACCTTTTTTTTTTTTTCTTTTTGCACCTTTTCGTATACGTATAACACTCTATAATTCTTTTAAATTGTTGCTTTTAAAAGTCATTAAAAAAAAATAATAGAAAAAAACAGCTTTTTTTTTCTGTTACTGGACAAATATAAAAATTATAGCTGAAAATGTAAAAACAAAAAGAAAAAACGAGCAATTTTTACCACAATTTCAGTGTCTTATAATAGACGACCAGCTGACAAGTAAAATGCCAAAAAAAAAAAAAAAGTAAGAGGTGTAAAAAAGTACTAACCAAAATTTTGTACACAACAACTAATCAGTTGATTTTTTATCAAAATTTTGTGCCGTATACATACATTAACCCTCCCCCCCTTTCCCCCCCCC